GCCACATGTCCACATCCCTCGGGAGGCCAAGATAGATACCTTTACAATCCATATGGGTAGGGTTGTACTCCCTATGTCCCTTAAAACTTTGTGAAGTTTGACCGGCACGAGGATTAATAAATAAAATTTGTGTGGTTGAGGCTTGTGCGGAGAAGAAAGAATTAACTAGAACCACAAATTCTTTACTTAAAAGAGAAAGTGGCAAAGTTAGTGGAACATCCAAAAAAGAAAGTTGACAAAGTTTTAAGGGACAGAGGGAGTACAAGTATAAACTGAACTCCATAGCGCGTCCAATCCAACCCTAACCAATCTTTGGGTATTTGATAAAAAAAAATATTAATGTGTTAAATATGTACAAACCCGCACCTAATGGGTAGGGTTGCGGAATTAAAATCTCAAACACGATAGTAGTTGACATGGTTGAAAGTTCATTTTGCTATAATTAAGTTACAATGTTTTGTTGAATAATTTATATTGAAGACTTATATGCTTTATCTAAGGCTTTATGATACTTGAATTATTAATTTTGAGTAGGTGATTAATATATATTTACCTGTGCATCTAGATGAACTTCCTTTATGCAAGAATGTTTTGATACTATTACTCAAGGTTTATGTTTACAAAAGATACTTGTTTTTTTATAATCAAGTTTAAAATTGGCTGCATTAGTTGCCCACATTAAAGATTCAATCTGAAGGGATTTTTTCATTACCTGATCTTACCTGACCCGTGCATGTATAGTTTATCAAATTGTATTGCATACCGCGGGTTGGTTAATAGTCAACCCGAATAAATTGGGTAGGTAAAAAAAGTATAGCCAATCCAAACCAACTCGCCTGATGTGCAACCCTACATATGGGTCATATTTTATGAGAAAAAAATCAAATAGATCCTTTAATTATTAATGATTTCACAATTGAACTTCAAAAAAAAAAATGATTTCACAATTGAATATGACCTTGACATTTTTTTTGGAAGAGGGGGGCTTACATTGATATCACAACATTAGCATTCAGAAAGGGGTTAAAACGATTTAAAGACCACAGACAACCGTCAGCCCTCGAACCAGACTTAGGATGTTTTCTTTTGGACTGAATTTTGCTGGTCTGGTCTGGTCTGGACCGGTCTGGTAAACGTCTGGTCTATATGTATTTTATAACTACGGAAGTCTGATATGGTCTAGGACTAAAAACAATCCAAAAGAAAACATCCTTAAAGTCAATCACCTTCAAAGAAACAATATAACTCACTGATCCTATAATGGGCTTACATGAGCCAAAGACGGTTAAAGCAGACCTCTTATCACTCAATCCTAATGCAAGAGTCTTACAATAATAAAAGTAAACAACAGAAAAATAAACAGTCTGATCTTGAAAAATAAATTGCAAGCAAAAAGTAAAATTAAAAAGATTCTTCCAAACCCTAGACTCTCCTCCACTCCAAGGCGGCGGTTCAGGAGGGGGATGATCCAGCAGTACTGTAGTTTCTTCTTCACCTTGCCTTTTATTCACCATGTGCTCTATCAAGCCTTCTCTGTCGCCACCTAACATAGATGATCACGGATCCAAATCTGTTCCAGCCTCTAACCTCACGCTTTGGCCGAGACCTTTGGCCGCCAGAGACCAAGCATCCATCTCTTGTCCCTGCACAACCTTCGGTCGCCAGAGACCAAACATCATCCCCCCCGCTAAATCTTGCCAAGCAAAAGAAGAAGAAAAACACTCTAGAAGCCCAGAGAAGAAGAGTCGCACAAACAACTGGCGGAAAAAAAAACTACACGACGGCAAAGCCACTAGGGAGAAACGTTGATTAGGGCTAGAGAGATGTTAGAGCATCTCTCTAACACTGAAATCTCATTAAAAAAATACTCCGGATTTTCCCTATATATAATGTCTCGTCAATAGATAATCAATCAATGAGAAGTGTTTTTTGATAGTTTACAAAGAAAACATATAAGAGGTAATTCCCTAAATAGAACTAAATCAATGTTGAAATGCACAAATAGGACTCTCATATGTTATAGGACCGAAAATCAGCTGGTTAGACAAAACTATCCATAATAACATTAGAGGTTAAATAAAAAAGGTAAAACTCTTCCTCCAGCTTCTTGTTTGACGATGCACATAACAACTCCAAACCGCTGAAACCTTCTAGCTCTCGCACGAATCTCACAAAAACAAGGAAGGGTTACTTTCTAAATCATTGGTACTTACCATAAAGCACACAGTTTAATCTCTGGACTTAATCATTAGTATTCTCAAAAGCTCTACTGGTTTCATCCAGGAGACCGAGATCATATCTGACCTCAGTACTCAAGAGGTTGGGACTTAGCCACTTTCCCAGGCTAAGCATAAAATTCCAGAACCCCTTTTCCAGATTCTGTTATAACAGTTGTTGGGATATTTTACAAAATCCATTGAATACGCTAAAATTCAAAAATTGCAGAGGCAGAGGTCCGACATTGACTTAGGCCCTCAAGTATAGCTTTCTTAGCTTATACTTGGCGAATTTTCCAAAATACAAAAACTTATTCTAACTACCACTTTCAAAGTGAATACTAAGAAAATTCTTGAAAAACAATTTCATTTTTAGACGGGTCTCTTGTTTGACCTTAGGATCGTAAGTATTCCGTACTTACAAAATAAAACGTTTTATCACACATTGAGATTAAGGCTAATCCTTAAAACTAAAAAATAACTTACAAAACTTGCAGGGTTTTCAAAACTACACAAGCTCTGGTTCACCCCTAACTTGACACATGTTTTATACTTAAGAAAATTTTTCAAAGGTTTTTTCAAAATCTCTAAAAGGAAAATCCCAAAGCTTTATATTGAGCCTCGGGGAACAAAGCTACAGTCAGCAGCCACGAGTATAAGGTCTATCACCGTTAGGATTGGTCTAGTAACCGTGATTTATATCCTCCCAAATACTCTGTCGGGTCGGGGCGCGAGAGACCCATAGAGTTGGGCATTCAACCTTCTTGGTGAACTAACAAAAGAAGAAGAAATGGAAACACTAACAAAAGAAGAAGAAATAATGGAGGTAGTAATGTATCAAATTGTTGATGAAAATTAGGGTGGTTTGCAAACGTGAGTTTCATTTGCAAACCTGAACATATATAATCCGTTTCTTGGTAGCTAAATCATGGCTTGCGGCACTTTTTAGAGCCCTTTTGATAAGAATTGATTGATTTGTCTGAAAATGTTGATATTTATGAAATCATGCTTGAATTCACTGAATTATAGGGAAATTATATTTGAAATTATTTTATTAATAAAACAAAAAAATATGAAAATAGTTAAAATGATCTTTTATGGTAATTTCAGTCAATTCAACAAGAAAGTAATTCTAACCATACTTATTATGACTATTACTACACAATTCAAATCGTGAAATCAGAAGTTACATGTTTCGTAGAAAAATCGGTCGATAAAGTTGATAAGCTCAAAATAAATTATTGGTTTCCTGACTCATCGTTTTGATTTCTTTCCGTCTGATTTTGTCCGGCTGAGTTCTTCTACTCCAGTTGTGGGTTTGTTTGCGTTTTGGTGTAAACGTGTGCGTGTTGTTGTGTGCTTGGTAGTTTGTTTTGCTTCAAGGTTTTGTGTCCTTTTTTATAGTAGTTGTCTCAATGGAGAGTCTATCTCTTGCTTATGAAAGGAAGTCTATTGAAGAGGAAGAAAATTGTGGATTAGTGTTCAAATCTGGTGCTTTGGATAATGGTGGTGGGGCAGGAAAGAATCCACACTTTTCTGGTGTAGCTAGGGTTGTCACAGATAAATTTGTTTAGCCTATCTTGTTCAGGGATACAATGGCAATGATATGGCGGCCGGGGATAGGGGTGAGTATTGAACATATTGGAGATATGCGTTTTCTGATTCAATTTTATCACGAAAGTGATGTCTCTCGGGTGCTACATGATGGTATGTGGTCCTTTGACCAGAAATTAGTTGTTATTAAGATGGTTGATGTGGTTGGTAGACCCTTAGAGGTGAAGTTGGATCATGCTGGTTCTGGGTTCAGATACACAATTTACCTCTGAATTTCATGACTGAAAAAGTGGCGACGGCCCCTTACTTGGGAATGTTGATTCAGTTTGATGAAAGGACGCTAAAGGGAGCTATCAAAGAGTATGTTTGTATTCGTGTTTCCATAAACATTAAGAATTTTTTGAAAGAAGAACACAAGTCAGAGAAGAGGGGGACATCTAGTTATGGGCGTACGTCAAGTATTAGAGACTCCCAAATCTATATTTCATCTGTGGGGTACTAGGCCATACTAATCGTTATTGCCCATCTAACACTGATTCGGGACCGTGGATCGGGGAGAAGTCATATGACCTCTAGATTAGAGCAGATATATGCGTGGAGGGGTTCACCCAGGCAACAAATGGATCATCCCGCGCGGGGAGGGGTGAGAGGGACCGTGAGTGAAAGGGGAGACAGTGAGAAGGACAAGTAACTGATAGGAATGCAAGATAAGGAAAAGGGATTGGGTTCTTTCTAGTTCAGGGACTCGCTTCAAAAGGAAAGGAGAAGATGTGTGCTGGTGAGGAACAAGACCATATTAGAGTCCTGGAGGAGGGAGAGTCTAGAAAAAGACGAGTTATGAATTTGCAAATCCTTGTGGAAGTTCAAGTGCACATGGAGGTTGACGGGATGGGTCAAAAAATGGCTTAGTTGCGGTGCTACCGGAACAGGACCGCCTGGCATACTGACGGATACTGCAAATGAGATGCTTCCTTTGGAGGTGGCCAGAAAAACCCCGTCTCCCTTCCCGGTGGCTGGTAAAACCAGGATGCTTGATTTATTTTATTGCTTTTTTTAAAAGTAATGTAGTTTACATACCCCTCATTTTAATATCAAGTTCAGCACTGCTGTTAGATTAGTTTACATGATTGCGGGATTAACGAATATGATTGACCCTTGGGGGGCTGATCAATTTTATGTCGCATCCCAGTGTAGCCTTGAGCTATTGTATTGCTTCTTCTCTTTTCTTTTTTGAAAGAAAATAATTTAATTATTATTGATGATAAGGGTAACAAGAAACATAACAATCAAAATTCGAAGCATTACAATCATAACGTTTAATGTTACACTAGAGTGAGACAAATAAATAAAAAGCTCTATAAAGCGCTCATGTTCGCTGACCCTGCAACAAAAAATAATATCTCTAGACAACGCTAGGAAATCAATATTGTTGAGGTTTTTTCCTTCAACCCCCGGGTCCAACACGTAAGCCCATGGATTTCGAATGGAGTGTGTGATTAAACTAGCCCAACAAGCAGATGATATGGATTAGGAAAGCAGTAAGGTAGCAAGTAAATGATTAGGTATTATTATGAGATAATTACCCTAAGTATGACTAAAACTTAATGAGTTTCTCAATCTATGACCTAACTAGTTTCTTTACCAAAATAAAATAAAAAACCATAATATTTAAATATATTTCGTAATTAATAAATAATAATAATTTTTTTTTGACAAATATACCCTTTAGCTTGTACCTATAAATCCCTAACCTCCTCTTCCATTTCTAAAACCCTAGCTACTACATCACAACATCCAGCCGCGCAGCTGCCCGTTGACCAACCGCCGCCCACCGTCTAGCCACTGTCCAGCGCCGCCGCCCACCGTTCAGTGCCGCCGCATTTCACAGAAGCACGATCGGCGGCCACCAGTGCAACCAATCGTTTGCTTGCCCGACCAACCCCACCCCATGTCTTCTCGTCGCAGCTAGACCGCCGCCTGCTCCCGCCGCCGTCCTGATCCGTGGGCTCCTCCATCGTCCCGATCCATGGGTGCCGCCGTCCAGCCGCCCGACATCTTCTTCTGGATCCATCGTTGGAGCGTGTCCGAATCCTAGCAGGGAGGAGGGAGCGCGGCGCAAGATCGTCACTGCAGAGATGGCAAAGTCGAGTAGGCGGCGTTCGTGCTGGTGTCCTTTTCATGTCGATCTGTGTTTGGGTTTGTGGTGTGTAGTGGTTGTATGTAGTTTGATTATGAGTGGTAGAGAAATAATGGGAAAAAGTGAGCAAGTGGTGGCCATTTGTCGAAACGTACGAATATGTACAGTGCATATTATATATGGGAGAAGGCATTAAAATTATAAGTTTCCAAAATTAGGGTTTGTAGGCATTAAATATTAGCAGTGAATATGAGCAGTGAATATGATAATAAATATTGTTGAGTATGGTGAGTCAATTTAGGATTTGTGAGCATTAAATATGTGCATTGAACATTGACCAGTAGTGCATTAACACAAAGCAGTAATTTCGCCATGAAACGCAATATACTTAATTAAATGTAAAATAATAAAATTATTAAATCTAAAAAAATAAAAAATAAAAAATATAAATAACTTCGTAAAGTGAATGAGAAGAGAATTAATTTTGACGAAAGTGCAATGATTATTACCGGATGTGCAGTAATGCCGTGCAGTAATGTCGTGCAGTAATTCAAATTGGACAAAATTAGTGCAAAATGCACATATTTTAAATAAGGGTATTATCGTCATTCAACATTTAAATATAAATGAATTTTTATTTTTATTTTGTATTTTCGGTCATACAAAAGTAAAAAAACTAGTTAGGTCATAGATTGAGAAACTCAATGAGTTTTAGTCATATTCTAGAAAATTTCCCTATTATTATCTCTTAATAACTCCCTAATACAATACTTTTCGCTAAGGCTCCGTCGGCCGTTCGTCTCACAAGGCAGTGGAAGTGCTGCGAGTAAGAATGCTATAGCTAGAGTGCTAATAATAGAAAGTTGCCAACCCCTTACAATGAAGTAAATGCTTCTATTTATACCCGCCAATGGGCAGGTGGCTATGCTGACGTGGAGGCCTGTGGACCGCTTGTGTCCCAACCACCAAATCTTCAGCATTAAATGCACTTCCCGCCAGAATCTAGGTTTCCCGCCTAAATAATGGGGACGTCCGTCCACCCGGGAAGCGAGCTGGATTGTTCCAAGTGACCCTCAAGAGGTTCCGGCTGTTCGTCTCCTGGCCTTGATAGATTCTCACCATGTGGACTGGGTTTCCTCCGATGACCATGGGCTTGCTCAGGAGACGTTCGTCGTCACCCCTGATGGCCCGTGGTCCTGCTCCTTGCCCCTGCATAGACGTTCGTCGGGATGAGCTGCTGGGCCTGAACTCCCAACCCCAGACGCTCGTCCCTTCTCAAGGAATATGGGCCTGCGGGCTGGCCTCGTGGTCTGACTGGACGCACGTCTGGTGAAGAAAAGGTTAGTGGGCCGGACCTCGGTTTGGGCCCTTAACCCAACACAAGTCCCCCACTTCTGATGTTCTGAGCATGCGCAGGACATAAGGAAGTATGATCTCTCCTGAGGGTAGGACGTTCGTGACCTGGTACTTGTGTTTATTGCTTCAAGTGGAGGCGTATGCTCGTGGTCATGGTGCTTAACAGCTGTCAACGGTTCAGGAAACGAGGTGACGGCTGCTGTAGCGGCGGTGCATTTTCCGAGGAAATGTCATCATTACGCTTTCGCCCCACGCACAGCGCGTGAGCCGGAATACGCTCCCTGCCACGCGTCAGCCCCCCGTTGGCTCCCCCACCGGTGTTTCTCCTATAAATGCCGGGTTTTCCCTCTGGATTAGGGTTCCCGATTTCTGCTCCCTTGCTTCCGAATTTCCGCAGCTCTTCAAGTCTTCTCCCGCTTTCAAGCTCGGCTAACCCCTTTCTAAGGTAACTTCCATCCTCTGCTTCTTTTCCTTGTCTTGAATTCTCGCCGAGATGGTTTCGATGGAGATCTCGTCAAGTTCTGGTTCGGGTTCATCGGGTTCATCGGGTTCCTCCACGGGCTCCTCTTCTGACTCCGGTTCACGCTCTTCGGGCGAGACTAGCACTTCCGGTAGTTCTGGCTCGGCCCCTACCGTGGGAACTGTTCAGGCCGGGGAAGCCCAAATTGGTGTTGTTAAAATTGTCCCTGGTGAGGAGGGTGCTGATTCGGGGGAACAAGACAACATGGCCCTCGATGTGGTGGACCCCGCGGCCGACGTCGGGGAACAGGAATCCGCTAGTGAGGACGGCCGTCCGGACGGATATGACTCTGGGGTCGAGGCCCAGGATGGTTCCGACATCGAAGTGTTTGATCTTGGGCTAAAGATAGATGTGGAGAGGCATCTATGCCCGATCAAGAATGTCCTCTGCCACGAGCAGATCTTCTCGCCGGTGGCCCTCAACAAACTGAAGGTGTTCTTCCCCCCTCCGTCCGTATACAGCCTTCGTGGCGCAACCCACGTGATGAGGAGACGCCCAGGGATGATTATGGTGCTTCTGGACTCAATCGAGGCTGGGCTGCGCTTCCCTCTTCATCCGTTCTTTGTGGAATTCTTCTGTTGTTACCAGATAGCCCCCGCACAACTCATGCCGAATTCTTATCGGTGGCTCTCCGCCTTCCTAGTCCGTTGCAAGGACAATGGGGTCACCGCCACTTTGGATCTGTTCCATTACTTCTACCGGCTCACCCCCCAAAATTCCGACGGTTTCCTGAGCATCGCAGCCCGTCCGAAGCGGAGGTTGTTCAGCGGAGCACCGAGTTCCATCCATGATTGGAAGAATCGGTTCTTCTTCGTGCGGTATGCGGATGCCCGTCTGCCACTACGGTGGAATGGCTATCCGCCCAAGATAGGGTCCCCGGATCTGACCGACGATCTGGAGGAGGACATCAGGAAGATCTCGACGGGCGGCGTCCGGCCCTTAGACGACTTCCTAACTTTTGAGGCACTTGCCGCGGCAGGAATAGGTACCGCCCATACTCTCGGGCATCTTCCCTCCTACGCTCGTCTCGGGGTACTGGGCGGTCCTGACCTCCGAGGTGAGTTATTCCTGACGCTCGTCCATCTAACACGTTTCCCATTTTCCTTTCAGGTCTTCCTCCAACCCAGGAACAGATGAATCACGAGAAGCTCCTCAAGAATCGGAAGGGAAAGGGTGCCGCGGCCGATGCTGCCCTTGCCAAGGCCAAGGCCGTTCAATCAGCAGACTCCAATTCTTCCGCCTCCCAGGCCGACCGTCGCACGGTGGAGGCCGAACAGCACCTTATTGCCACGGTGATGGCACAGGGGTCCCAGGCCCCAATCCTTAACCCTGGCGTTCCCGAGGTCGTGGCGCCTCTGCAGGCCGTCCATCCCCAGGAGGGGGAGAAAGCGGACAAGAAGCCAAAAAGGTCCAGGGGGACTGGCTCTTCGGCCCCTGAAGGGCAAGGGCTGATCCTCCCCTCTCTCGGACGTCCGGCACATGACGTTTGGCAGGAGGTTGCTTCCCTGGCCGGCGTGGAGATGCCTCCCCGCACGTCTTCAGAAGCTTCCAATGCGGCTCTGGCTGCCGCTCTTCAGGTAAGATCTCGCTCCACACAGGGTGCCTGACTACCTCATTCTAACGTTTCGAAGTCTCACCTCCCGCATTTGATTTGTAGGTCGGGCTCTCCGTTCTGCAATCTGAGGCTGCCCGGGATGCCGAGGTCCTCCTGGCGAGGAATAAAGCAGATGCTGCTCTGAAGAAGGCGAGAGAGGCCGCTCGTCTTCAGGAGAAGGAGCTGGCGGCCAAAGACAAAGAACTGCAGGCCGCCCTGAAGGTAGCCCGTGAGTCCTCCGCGAAGCTCGCGGTCCTCGAGAAGGCCGGGTTCAAGCTCGTCCCAGCTCTCCCCGCTCCCAAGGACGAGGCCCCTGAGTGGCTCGTCGATGACACCGGGTATCACAACTCTGGGGCCTTCATGATTGCCGCCCAGAAATACCTTGGGGGCGCCTTTGGCGATGTATTCGCCGCCGAGCTGTAGAAACAGGCGCCGAAGGACCGCCTCAAATTCGGGGTCCGAATCCTGGAGAGTGCGCCCCTGGCCGAGAAGTTTTTATATGATGTTGGGGATAGCTCCTTCGTCATCGGCTACAACGAGGGGGTAAAGGCCACACTGCCGGTCTTCGCCGCTCTTCAGGGGCCCAGTTTTGATCTGGCCGAGCATACCTCGGATCCGGAGCTGATCCGGGTGGTGGGCAAGTTGAAACGGGACGCCCGGCGGGAGGAGGCCAGAGCCAGAGGGGAGGCCCCGGAGCCCCCGTCCCCCGAGCCCGAGGAGGAAGAAGAAACCATCCCTGGGGGATCCCGGCCTGTTTCTCCAAATTTTGTGTAATGTAGCTTGTAGTTTCCTTGTTTTGATCCTGTACTTATCCGGCCAGTAGAGCCGAGGAATATACAACTCTTTTTGCTCTATTTAATGTATCATTGTCTCTACGTTCGTGAACTCTTCTTATTTCCTTTCATCGTTGGTAGTTTTTTGCTTTCTTGGGATGTAGCCCAAGTTGTGGGGACGTTCATGTTCATAATTCGTTCCTGCATCCCAATCTTTCGGGATATGAACGTATGCCTGGAAGTACCCCACGTGTGTAAATCATCCCCAATGCCGTACATCGGAAGGAAGACGTACGGGGATGTGACCGTACTATGTTGTGCGCGCCCAACCTAAACTCGGTGGGGCGACGTTCGTCTGTATAAAGATGTGGGGACATGGATGCACTCCTCAGAAACACTGCCTTGATAGAGAAGTCCATCGCGTTAAGAACAGCATGACCTTTCACGCATTGTGCTCAAACCAGATACCGTTCGCGGACGTTCGTCTGGTTGGACCCGCGTTTCAGTTTTGTGAAGCATGGAAATACGCACGTCTTCCTTGGAACAGTATGACCTGATCCCGCGAATACGTACGTCTTTCCATGAGTAGCCTGTGGGTGCGGTCCCTGTGTGCCCCTATGGGGGACGCTCGTGGCATTAAACCGGCTTCCTTCGCGGTGGTTGTGGGGTAGTGACATCGAGGTGCCTTTAATGCTGCGGTAGGTACCGGTATCCAGGGGCCACGTGTTCCACCGTGGTTGGCGCGATCCCGCGGTGCTGTCTATAAGTACCCAAGGACTCGCGAATTCTCCATTTGCCTCATCCCTAGCTCTTGTGCTGCGCAACCACTTTTCTCTCTCTAGCTTTTCTCGGCACCGCCCCAGGCTCGAGCCCCGGTAGGTACCGAACGTCGTCATGTCTTCATCTAGGTTAGAAACCCAAAACATTGATTCAAGGACCCGAAGCAGCTCGTCGTCCGCCGGGGATAGGTTTGACGACGGGTGTTCCTCTGGTGATGATCTGGAGTTCTATGAGCGGGGCATGCCACCTCGGCCCCCCCGCCATCATCTGAATTTTCACGGTGTCCGTCGCCAGCGTCAGCGTCTATTGAATGCGGATCGTCGGCTGATAAGCCAATGGTTTCTCCC